TGAGTGATGTTCGATGAGGGGCGTAAACAGGAGACAGCTGGGAGTAATCGAGGTTGAGAAGAAGGACTAGTCAGATGGGAAGGATCGTTTTCCAAATAGGTATGAAAAAGCAAGAGGTTGAAGGTAAATTTGGGGAAAGGTGAGGAAACAGGAGGATATGTACGGTTTACAGAAACCGAGGTAAGCTTCTAGTGAATGGTGGTGGCGCAGTGGTTTGGTCGTTGTCACTGGCGGGCTTTGGACCCTATGGTCCGAGGTTCAACCCGCGCCACCACCACCTAACTTTGGTGATAGGCAGCTCTGCTGTCGTCCGGTTCAATACCACGCCTAACCTACCGGGGCTTTATGTGGTTCGCCACTCCACGTCCCGGGGCTTAAGTTGCCGGTTTCCATCATTGAACAGAAAATCTTCGTGGCTATGGGATTCGCCCGTCTGCTGTTCATTACACTAAGGTGTGTAATAAAAAGAGATCGAGGTAGATAGAAATAGTTGGTCTACTAGAGGAGTGTCTGTGTTCTAGAATTTGACGAAGAGCGGAGATGTGGTCGATACAGCCTCGACCAGGTCTAAAACCAGCCTGGTTCTCACACATGCACTCTTCACGTATGACAGACCAACGATGTAGTATAGTACCAGCGAGAAGTTTAGAGACGATGTTGAATAAACTAATTTCTCTGCGGTTTTCACAAGAGGATCTATCACCTTTCTTGTAAATTGGTATGATTACCGATGCACACCATTGAGACCTCTTCCCTCTCCCACACTGAGCCCAGGAGTTTTGTTAACTCCGAGACTAAGGCGGAGCTTCCATCCTTAAAAACCGATGAGGAGAGCCCGTCTGGGGCGGAAGCCTTATAGCTTTTGAGATAATTTAATTCTCGGGTAATCTCCATTTCAGATGGAGGACTGATGTCAACTGGCAGTATTTGTATGGATAAGGGCCAGCTGAATTGCGCCTTAAAATGTTCTGCCCAACGTTCAAGACGGCGTTGCTGAATACGAATCAGTGTGCCGTTAGACTCCTTAATTACCTTACTTACACCTTTCCTTTGGCCTGTACTCCTAATTGAACAAAATAGATTGCGACTATTACCGATAGCTGCAGCGTTCTCCATCTATCTACACTTCTCTACCCTCCACTTCCTGCGGTCATTTCTCAGACTCTTGATGAGCAGGTGTTTAACGGATTTGCGCGCTAGATTTGGCGCAAGGTAGATTACATCAGTTTCAGTTTCATTGTTTACAGCCAGATTACCTCTCTTGCAATGAACGCTCCGTGCGCAGTGACATACTATTCTCCGGTAGAAGTAGATATTCCATCCTGTATTCAATCACCTAATCTGAAAAATATCAGAAAGTGGACGGTGAAACACAAAGAATCTGTTATTACAGTTGTCTACTTTTTCCATTTTAACTGTTCCACCTTTTCACTCCGTGCAAAGGGCATCCCGAATGAAGTTACAGAACAGGTGCGCTTTGTGCTTCCTTCGTACATTCAAACAGGCATACGATGTCATCAGCGTACTCTAGATCGCACAGCTTTTCTCCAGCTGCCCATTCAATACCGACGTTTTGGAGACCACTAAGTGCGTTCTCCAGTATTTCGTCTACTACGAAATTGAACAGGAATGGCTAAATAGGGCACCCTTGACGGGCGCCGCTCCTGGTTTCGAACGACTTACTTAGCCCACCATAAACCCTTAAGCTACCAGATGTATACAAGTACAGCGACCGCAAAATGATCCCTTCTTGAAGATCGGGTCGATCAACGATTCACCCCAGAACATAGGGATACGCTCTTCCGTCCAAATGCTGCGAAGCAAGCTAGTACTTGAGGCAACAATAGAATCACCGATCACCTTGAAAAGAATGGGGAGAAGCCTATCAGGTCTGGCTGCCTTTCCTTTNTTCCTTTCTTTAATGATTAAATGCAGCTTCGTACATCCGATTCTGATGGGGGCTCGCATGTTACCACCCATGGAGTTTCCACCGCAATCGCTGGAATGACCACATTAGCACTGGACCTATTGATTTGTTCACTAAAATACTCTGCCCAGCGATCAATTCGTTGTTCTTTATTGTGGATACTCTGTCCACTTCTATCGCAAATGATCTCACTGACCGGTATGCGATGACCTCCGGTGCTGCGTATCAGGTGAAATAGTCTTTGACTAGTCCATTATGCAGAAGCTACCTCCATTTCACTAGCTATTTGGGCCAACCAGTTTCCGCGATCTTTCTTAAGGTTATTCCTGAGCCGTCGCAGGCGACATCGGTCCTTATGTTGATCCTGGCTGGTTGGTGTCTTTCGCTTTTGATCCATCGGGATTACTGACTCCTGAGAGATCCAATGCCTTCGGCAAACTTCGGGATCAGTCCTACAAGCAAAGTTTGCTGCTGAGTGCATCGTGATTCTAATCTGATTCCACTGTTGGTCTACTCCACTATGTCGCGGTTCTCCTAGCTCCTGTCCCGGCTTCTCATCGTAACGTGCACACAGCTGGATCGCGCAGACGATGATGAGCTAATTGAGTAGACGATTTATGTCGATTAGTCGAAAAGTGAAGCATATCAGAACTAGTGCATGATCCGACTCAACTCAGGTGGACCAATAGGATCTGCAATTTTCTACTAAACCACGCCAACTGTAGCTTACAGCTGCTTGGTCAATTTGGGTCAATGTGCCCGTTGAACTAGAACACCATGTAGTCCTTCGCCGAGAGCTGTGTCGAAAGTTGATGCTAGATAAGAACAGCCGGTGATCCGCGCAGAACTGAAGCAGTCGATCACCGTTGTCTGTTCGCTGGGTGGGAAGAGGGAAATGTCGCCTTAGACAGGCTTCGGATGCGCTCAGATTTCCAACCTGCGCATTAAAATCACCTGCCAGCACTATAATATCAGAGTCGCGGCTCAACCGAATCAGTTCGTCGAGTTTGTCGTAAAATTCGTCCTTTTGTGAAGCGGGACTGCAGTTGGTTGGTGCATACGCGGAAATTATGAACAAACACCTTTTGGTGTTGCTACCCTTTCGAACACTAACTGAACTCTGTAGCCTCATTGCGCACAATAGGCTATTGATGGGTATCGAATCTATCATAGAGTCTTCAGCTTCATCGTTTGGTACGATACCTACATCACGCTGACCCGGTAAGCGGGCTTCGTCGTCTCCTGATGCGCGGAGGAAGTACCTCAAGGACAGACCCGGCGCACTCAAGTGGCTTATAATGCCAGTATCCTGTATTCGTGTCTCCGATACGCAAAATTAATCGACTTTTAGAAATTGCATTGTAACCGCAAGACGCACTTGTTGACCCACCGCACGTCGAAACCCCCCAGATTGAGAGGTTAACGAGGCTTCAGAATCTGAACTTTATTTACAAGAAAGCTAGTTACAGCGTTATTTGACAAAGACCTATTGCGATTGACGACCAAGTTGTTTAAGGGATTGTTACGTGTCGGAATAGTTTCAGTTTCAGTTTGAACAACCATTAACCACGCATATTCGAGCGCCGGTTTTGGTTGCTGTCTTTTGGCTGCCCATTTGGGATGAAGAATAGGAGAAAAAAGAAAAGTTGAAAGTGGATTCGAAAAGAAAATGGAGAAGTTCAGTGGTCTAAGGTTGTAAAGAAATTGAGGAGATGCACGAACGCCACTGTTTACGACACCCAGCCATATCACTCAGTGTCTCTAACCATCGGTTACGATCATCCCGAGGTCCCCAGCCAGGGAGCCTAACAGGACCTATGTGACCCAGTTACCTGCTTAGGGTTTTCATACCCTCGTGCCAGGTCTCAACTTGACCACCCTTGGCTTTTTTCCACTCGGTATCTGCTTCGGCGAACATCGCTCGCCGTGGTAACCTACCTGGTGACATGCGTAACACATGTCCCAGCCAACGTAATCTATGGAGGTCGACCACTTACTCCAGTGGGCGACCGTATTTACCCAAAACTCTGCCCCTAACCTCAGCATTGCTCATCCGGCTACCCCACCAGACACATGCAATGCAACGTGTCGGAATAAGGGGTAAAAGGATAGGGTTGGTTACGGAGGACAAAGAGTTAAACAACGGTTGTGCAAGCACAGGCTCCTGTCAGTCTTGAACAAGCAGTTTACACTTTGATGGTACAAAGTACATACCATACCTGGATACCTAGATCGCCAAGCGGTTCAAGCGTGTTGGACTACTTTTGTGTTGTCACCCAACGAGACAATATCATCGGCCTATTCTAAGACAACATCTCTGTTCTCTGATGGGAGTTTGACTCCACCGTTTACTAGACCGGACAAAGCATTCTGTAGAACATCCTCTGTGACAAAGTTTAAACGGAATGTGGATATAGGGTGGCCTTGTCGAACTCCACTGGAGACCGCAAAAGGTGACAGAAGCTGGCCTTAGGCTCTAACCTGACCCGTGCAATTACGAGAACTTGGGACGACGATTTGCGCTGTTTAATCGGTCCGGTCATGGACACGCCTTATATTTGACTGTCAGTTTGTTATTCGCCACCCACTACAAAACAACAGTAAAGTGAATAACACCAAAAAATAGCTGCTGGTGATGAAATTGCGAGTACGCATCTGTAACATTTGAGTGAATTGAGGAGAATTCATTCATTAATTGAGGGAAGAAAAGAATCGCGTCTACCGTTGAACTATTCATCTGTACAGGCTAGAATAATTTTCAGATCCCTAGCAATTACAGTCGACTATGTTTACGAATACCTGTTTTCTTTTTTTACCCTGATCGCTTTCAGTCAAGTTACATACGAACCAAGAGCTGGTCGATACTATGCTTATTTTTTTCTTTCATTCCCTCTCGCTGTTCCTAGGATCAAGGTGATGGAGTGTTTAAACAATTGAACGAACAGCTTAACACAACCGACGCATATCTAAAGCTTCTTTCGGAGGTACAAAAACTTCAACATGATTTTGGTAAACGACTCAGGTATGTTCCTCGATTAAATGCTAGGATCCCAATCTGATTTCTGCATAACAGAAAGTTGGCAGCAGCTTCTATCCCCAAGAAGAAAACAGGTCCCGAGGATGCCACTGTTAATGTGGCTTTTGGTGCTTTGGCTCAACAATTGTCAAATATGGGTGCGGTTATGGAGGCCGGCGCCAAGGATCTGAATGAACAAGTCCTAACTGGTCTCAAGTCGTTTTATGACAGTGATAAACGGGAGCTAGAAAACAAGCGAAACGATTCGGCCAAGTTAGCCAATAATGTGGACCAATTGCGGAAACAACTGGAAACCGCATGGCAAAAGTATGTAACTGCGTTCAAAGAGAAGCAAAAAGCGTACGATAATTGGATCAAAGCGGAGGGAGATTTGCAATTACCACGAATTGAACAGCAAAAGGTAATCACTGCCTTGCACCGTTTCTCAATCTAATAAGTGGTTTGGGTTGGTTGCTTCCTGTTTTTTTCTTGTCATTGAAACTGCAGCATCTTGTGCTCTCGAGTCGATGGGCGTTGTGGATAGTTATACTTTTAGGCAACTTTCTATTAATTAAGGATTCGTCGTCTTCATAGAGAAATACACGAAGAGTCGTGAAAAATGATACAGAGTGAAATTCCCAAAATCACCCGATTTTCGACCTCAACAATGCACCTCTACCTCTAGCACAATTAAGTGATAACAGGATGATGCTAATGGCCCCAGTCAGTGCCACATCCGTACATTGATGATTTCAATGGTGATTTGTGGTGTTTTATTGCAGAGAGATAGTTTTCCAAGTGAAAACTCGCTGTCTCCGGGTATAAGCGCTGTCTGTAGTCCTCGGGATATACCATAAACTACATTGTGAGGATGACTCGTTTTTGTGTGTATTCTATGATTTAGTTGATTTCAGACACCATTGAACGAAAGCGGACTGGGAGCCAGTTCAAAATGTTTGCGATAGAGCAACTAACCTACTAAAGCCTCACGTCACTATTTCTCGGTTCGAGCAATATTAACTTCTATAATTTGGCTTATACTTTCAAAAAAGAACCAACATATGACTGAGGTACATTGTGGCAAACACTTCGATCACGTCTCCGCGGATATAAATACAGCAGTTTCAAGGAATCGTTATTTGTGAAGGAGAGTAATCAATGTTTAGCAGCCCAAAATTTCTGCTCAATTACGGAAAAGCGGGGAATTTGTTTTACAATCAAGATGCAACCACAATTGGTAAGCCTTTCTCGATCAAATTTCACATCCACTTCCGCTATTCAGCAAATCTAATTTGTCACCTGCTGCAGTCAAAACTGGCTTCTCTTTGCGGTCGACTGGCTTTAAAGCGTAAAGCCAAGTGACTGACTGCCTGAGAAAACCGCATGCATGCCTAATGTTTTCACGTGTTGCATAATCAAGCCACGATGTGGATTATTATTGTTGTCATATAGTCCTCTTTTTTGTCGTGTTCTATGCTGAAGGAAGTGTACCATATACATTTGTTTCACATGTTGCTACACATTTTCTGGTGCTCGTTTAAACATACATACCAAACAGGTAAAAATGTTCTGCTTGTCTGATACTTAATTCCCAATGGCACTGTCCTGCAAAGCGATAAGCCGTCGTCCCATTGCTGGCAAAAAAATGAGGACAAACAAGTATAGTGTTTAAATAAAATTTTGATTTCCAAATTTCAAGCAGGTCTCAATACGTCTGTCACAAATATCGTTTTTCAGAACAGGCAAGAGGATTTAGGAAACGATGGATCATTTTGAGGTTATGCCTCGCCAACGTAAGGTCAAACTTCGCCGTACAAGAAAAGTCATAGGAGAACCAAAGATCTTATCATTGGTTGATCAATGCAAATGTGATGCAATCTGATTTTAAAGGAAAATCCTTTCACCTTGTAAGCACCTGTTTAAGGTTACGTCCAAGTCTAACACCCGAATACTTTGCACGTCTGACTTTGCTGATTGATTTTCCTTCAATCTGTGCGTTTTCAGGCGAAGGTGAAGAGTAGTTCAGGGTAGGAACACAGTGTATGAATTTGTCAGATTAAGACCACGTGAAGTAAATTACACACCAAGACGAGACATACCAGTGTTGAATTTTTCACATGTACGCAAACTACAGAACTTGACTTGTGTGTGTGTGTGTGTGTGTGTGTGTGTGTGTGTGTACAGTAGGTCACCAATTCTAGGCATTAAATGAAAGGGTGATAAGACGAGACTTGCAGTACACCCGAATACTTGAAAGTGACGCTGTTGAATATCGTTTAGAGAAGTAATCTCTCAGTTATTCAGGAACACAAGAGGGATAGCCAAAAACACTTTAGCTTGTTAAAGAGAACAAAACAGAGCACAGAATCAAAAATCGAAGAATAATCAAAAAAGCACCGCATTCATTTTTGCTTTCTCATTCAGTGTCTTATGCACAAAATGAGCAAAAGAAGAGACAACATTCAGTGCACAGTGGATTGTCTGCTAACCGATAACTGTCATTGAGGATGGTGAGGGATAACTGAAGACTTTATAGAACTGATCGCTTCATCAATTTTAAGTCAGAAAAAAATGAGAGCAGTTTTGAATTCGGGACTTATGCTGTACTTTTGAGAAAGGTCGTCGTTCTTTCCGGACGCGACTACTCAGGAATGGCTCGTAGTTCAAGTGAAAGATTATACGTGGCGCTGATTCTGCACAGAGTCTAAGGGGTGTCTTACTGAAATTATCTGGAGTGGCCACAGATGATGCCTTAGAAGAACGTAAAGGCTTGTACGTTTCACTGGGAGAGATCGTTTCAAACGAGGAAGGGATGTTGAAAAAACTCGGAATTGAGTAATTTGGGTAAGTGTCAGGCGAAGTTTGAATGAATACAGTACTCAACTTCTGCCTGACGAGCGGCGAGAACCACGAAACCGGTCGTGTGCCTCCAGAGAAATTTTGTCCAGTCATTCACATATTACTGATTATGAAATTATTCTATAAAGACGGTTAAATTAGGTTTGTTGTGGTTAGTAGAATCTAACTCACCTATAAAACACCGAATCATAGCATTTATTCTTCAGTGGACTGGCTCTGAAAGAGCTGTCTTTCAATAGTCACTCGGAGTTGCAAACGCGGTATATATATATACCAATATTTACAGATACGGCGCTAAAATAACCATGATTTGAAAAAGAGCTACAGTAACAGAATAAGAGAGAAAACTAAAACAGTCAATTATTACGATAACAACTTTGTTGCTTGTTTACTACACACCGTTTCCAACTTTTTTGTCCGTTTGCCTTATTTTTGAAATGGAATAGAGAAAAGGGTGCATTCACACCACCGACTTTAGTTCGATGCCATATCCCGCAGTATCTCCAGCCAAAGACAATCTGAATCTTTGGGAACCCAGTCAGGGAATAGGGAAGCCCCGACGGAAGCCGAATTCGAGCACAATATCTTCTGCCCTCTGCGCCACGTCATAGCGTTCCCAGCTCGTTGTTTCTTCCAGCCACTGTCTGCAACTAGCGCGGGTGATGTTGCGCTGACAACGGTTGCGGAAGATGAATAGTCCTTGGACATGATCTGCTCGAAGAGACCAAGTTTCGCAGCCGTGAATCAACACAGTGCTTAACGTTGCGCAATACACACGCTCTTTCGCTGAAAGAAATACGTCGCGCCGGTGCCAGAACCGTTGCAGATTAGCAAGCGCAAATCTAGCTTTGATTATGCGTTGAGAGATCTCCTCGCCCACACCTCCACCAGCCTTTTTGCAACTTCCCAGGCAGACAAGGCTTTCGACTATTTCTAGAGTGTGTTTATCCAACGAAAGGCCAGTCTTGCAACAGCACCTTGCATTTTGAAGGTGCAAAGGACATACCATAACGAGCGACCTCCATTGCGGAACTATTCTTGTTATATATTTTCACACACGTCTGAATCCAAACTGTTTGCCAAACAAATCATGGTACAATAATCTTTATGAAAAAGAGAAACTATTCATCGTGCTCTGCATCGTTGGTTCGTTGTCACCGAGTAAAACACAGTGGTAACACATACCTTCCATGAGATGGGTCCTGGAGTGCAAATCTCGGACAGGACGGTGGATATGCACTGCTAATGAGCCCTAATAAGAGCGAAACCCGAGTCCAGTACTTCCGAGTGTATAGGTGGTTGGAAGAGCTGAGGAATGGGTGAAGGTGAAGTGTGAAGGATGGTCAGTTCCAATCAATTAATAAGGTAATATCATCGATATACTCTAAGCCTACGACTCTATTTCCAGAAAGAAGCTCGGTGCCTACGTTCGTTACGTTGAGTATCGCTTTTTGCAGAATCTCGTCTATGGCAAAGTTGAAGAGAAACGGAGAGATGAGGCAACCCTGTCGCACTTCACTGATGACATAAAATGAGGGTGAAAGTTCACCGTAGGCCCTGACCTTCCCCGATGTTTGACAGTAAAGTGCTTTTAGAAGCAGAGGTACTTCTCGGGTACTCCGTATTTCAGCAAACAGTTCCACACCACAGGGCAATCCATGTAGTCGGAGATCTCTCTGATGTCCAAAACCACGACAATGGTTTGTCGCCTATGTATGTGGCGGTTTTCTAGCAACCGTCTGCGTCATAAATGGACGTTAACAGTGTTGACGCCATAAGAATCAGAGCTATGCCACTGTAATTGGAACAGACTTTGCGACTGCCTTTTTCGTAGGTAGGCGTAACAATCGATTCTCCCCACGTGTGGATACAGTTTCGTTCTCCCAGATCCTCGAACATAGTCTGACAACGTCTCTCTCTCTTTCCACCGNCCACCGTCTATAAAGGCGACCGGTGGCAGGTTGTCTGATCCACACGTCTTTTGGCGTTTCAGGACTTGAAGTTCATTTTGGATCTTTGTTTCTGTAGGCGGTTCCGTGGATGGTAACCGGGGTTCACACTCGGCGGACTACGTAGAGTATCCAGCGCCGTAAGCTGGTTAAACTGCGATTTGAACTGCTCTACCCAGCGTTCCAGGCTTAAGCGAAGACTGTATATTGGCGTACCATCTACCTCGCAGATTGTTTCACTAACGCACTATCTGTTGGGATCAGTAGCACAGATGAGTTGGAGCAGTTCCCGGGTGTTTCNNCGCCCACCATACTTTTTGGTCGTCTCTGAAGCTCTACAGTGAGAGGCGCTGCTTATTGAACTCGCTGTCTACCGAGATTGCCCGATATGCGGCAATAAGTCTGAGAGTTGGAGGAGACCCAGCGCTGCGGGTCAGGCCAGAACTGTGTAATCTAGCTGAGTGCATTGCCTTTTGTGTGTTTGCCCAGTGTTGATCTACACTCATTGGTGGGATACCAGTTAGTGTTGCGACCAGCACGGATGCGAAGTCAAGCTAATTATATCTTATCTTTTTGCGGCCACCAAATTGCATAGACAAATTAGCACCATCCA